AATAGCGGGGGGTGGGGGGGGGCGTAATCCTTATTAATCTCGAAATAAACAGGAATGGTTGTAAGAACTTTTGGATGCAGCTACGTCGGCGACCAGAAGGAAAGAGAAGGCGTTGATCGTGATTGCATAACGCTACAGAATAGGACGTCGATTTGTAGCCCATCGCTTATTACGGTATCGATAATTGAACATAGTAATTAATAATTGGAAAGTGAGGAACGATGGTTTAGTGTCATCGATCTACAAGCATACGGTGGCATGAGCCGAATCTCGCAATTAAGTTGACAAAGAACTAGAAAAAACAAATTCTGCTTCCGCCAACTGGCAATCGTCCATCACCTTGGATACAGATTTCATTGAAGGGAGGAAAATGGAGAAAAACACGACCGCGCAGAAACGTGATTCTGCAAGTGACAGCGATGCTCTGAACAAAAACCACTGGTCTGGTTGTGGCCCACAACACAAGCCTGACGATCCTCGTCGTCTCCATTGCCGTAAAAAAGGACATGGCAAAAAAGCACACCCAGCGAGCATTTTCGACAGTTTTTTGTTCGCCACGTCTTGAATCAAATATGTTTACTTCTCTGTCAGACGAAAAAACACCGATTCCAACTTTGTTCTGCCAGTTGCTCGTCTAGGGGACATTTGACAGTGCTGAAAAAGAGAGGCCAAATTGATAGACCACACCGTCGAGGAGCAAATCAGCTTTGGCAGCGAACCATCGTCAGGAAAAGTAAAACTTCTCGTGCAATGGTAGAACAGATTTTCTAGAAAAAGAGTCGCTTTTGCAGGACTCGCACTATAGAGTCGATACTCAACGCAACTCCGATGTGAAGAAATCGGATCCAGCCCCAACGATGGTCAGCGAGACGTTTGACCCTTAAAGTTATGAACCAAAAAACCATTGGTCAATACCTCTTCTTCTTGTCCGACCCCTTGTGCTTCAGGGATGAGTCTACTCCCTCAGCGGAGAAACAAAAGTAGCTAATTCGATTATCACTGGTTGGGGACACCGAACAAAGACAACGGTGAAATTTTCATTGCCTGTGAATTTACCTCCCTTGTCGGTAGCATCATCAGGGCACATGACAGCGGGTAAAAATTCTGCTATTGCCTATGTTTAGAGTCCTCGACTACGGATAAACAAATTAGTTACTTC